GATGAGTACAAGAGTTGCAACAGTTCTGGCTATAATAGAAAGACCCCACCGCTACTTATTTCAATTATTTATTTAGAAAATTTGTTAATTCTGTTGAAACATTAGCCAAGCCATGCGTTTGCTGTTCTGTGTATTAAAAGAGATAGTTCATTCCTTGTTGGTTAAGAACACAGACCCTGGAACCAGATTCTTTGGGATCAAATCCTGGTTTCCTCATCTCTTCATGTGCTGTTCTATTTCCTCATATGCAAAAGAGAAATACCAATGGTACGTCTTTCATATGATTACTATGAAGATTCGATTAATCAATATATGAAAAGTGCTTAAAATAGCACTTGGTACACAGTAAATAAACACTGCATATGTTGGTTGTTGTTACTATTTTCAGTAAGTAATTTTTAACTGCCTGCAGACATTATAAACTATTTCCCAGTGAGTGTTTAACTTGAATGTATTATAGGGGGAAAAAAGAAATAAATAATGTTCATCAAACATTGATGCAGTAACACTCCCTTATAACAGATTTGAGATGAAAAATGCTTATTCTTTGCCAACAATGTTTCATCAGCATGAGGATAGCCACATAATCAGATTTAAAGAGATAAAATGAATTTATCTAAACAGATGCCTCTCAGCATTAGAAAGAAAAAATCCTGGATGATTTCAGATTTAATAAATGAGGCTTTTTCAGTTTTAGCAACTTTTGCTAAGAAGCTCAGAAGACATTCCAAATATTCTAATTAACTTTTGACATATCTAGTGAAATAAGAGGCAACCACTATTTCTGTTTTTGGAATATATATTATTTAGAGTGATTTAGGAGGCTGGCTGAGATTATATGTGATTTAGAAGTACAGAAACACCCCGGCTGTCATTCTAACACTTTGCCTGGTCTTTTAATATGTATGATAATTTTTCGTGAAGTATAATCCTATTTTTAAGAATTACTAAGATTTGAGACTTAACCATGAAAAAAAATATGCTGAAAGGAATACATGTAATTTACTCCCAACATTCCACTTTTTTATCTAACAAAAAGTAAACATTACTGAGCATGGCATGACGGTGGACAGAACTCTGCAGTAAAGAAGAAAGAGCCCTCAATTCTGTGCTGTCTCCTTCACTAACCCTCTGTGACCTTCTGTGTGTCATTTGCTGTCCCTGACCTCAGGACCTGCTTATGTGATAGGAAGGGGTGGGTCTAGAGAGTAGAATGTGGTGATTGAAGCATCTCCTTATGTGAAACTCGTCTAAGCATGACATCCTCCTTGCAGTTGCCCAGTGATAGAAAATTCACTATACCGGCTGGACGCGGTGGTTCACGCCTGTAATCCCAGCACTTTGAGAGGCCGAGGCAGGTGAATCACCTGAGGTCAGGAGTTCAAGACCAGCCTGGCCAACATGGTGAAACCCTGTCTCTACTAAAAATACAAAAAATTAGCCGGGCATGGTGGCAGGTGCCTGTAATCCCAGTTACTCAGGAGACGGAGGCAGGAGAATCATTTGAACCCTTGAGGTGGAGGTTGTAGTGAGCCGAGATTGTGCCATTGCACTCCAGCCTGGGGAACAAGCACAAAACAACGTCTCAAAAAATAAAAAAGAAAACTCACTCTACCTTAAGGTGCTGGAGCTGTCTACAGATACTTCTAGCTATTAAAAAAAGTTATTCCTTAGCCACATGTTGGGTCTTCCTGCAAACTGTAATTTCCCTCGCATCTGAAGTAGCCTAGAATTCTAAATGTGAAATACAGTAGAGCCCCATAACAGCAAACTTTTTAAATGATGAAAGGGAGCTCTAAATAACAGCAAAAGGCTGCTCTTCTTGCTCCCATTATGTTTACTATTACTGTGCTCTAGTGAGAATAGCAAGGGGTCAAAGGAATTTATAACAGTTCCTGTACCTTCAACTTACCAAGTCCCCTACCAAGTAACAGTTTTCTGTCAGAGAGAAAGTTCTGCCCTCCCTGATCAAAGGTGTCCATGCCAATCAGACTTCCCCTGTAGCTCCCTGGGAGAGGTCAGGCCTAGAACAACCTTCTACTCTAAGAAGGAAGATGTGGATGTTGTTGAATTGAAATCCATGATCTCTGTTCCGTAGAGCCAGGCTACCCAAAGTGTAGTGTGAAAAGTGTGCTGGCTCAGGAAACATTTTGTTACTAAGCTGTGACAAGGAGAAGAATACTGAGAGTAAGCGTTTAGAAATGTTGCAGCTGCTGAATACTGAGGCTGCACTAAACTCATGACCTCTCTCATCCCTGAGATTAGACCACTTGCATGCTGCTGAATACTCACAGGGTGAGCCACATGTGGTAAGACCTACGTATTCATCCCGTGCAGGAGGACCACAGCTAGGTCTGCCATGGCTTGAAAATAATGAAGTCCTTTACTTCAGATAGTGTAGGTTTAGAGTTGAACCGTGTCATCCTTTCCCGTATCCTTCAATTCCCCAGACGAATTAAAGGACTCCCCACACTTTCTCCATTGACCATGGATGAACTGAACATTGACCTTGTTTTTGACTTCTAGAAACCACAAATTCGGTTTTCTAACAATTTACAACACTCATTTTAATAAAATCTAAACACGGTGAAAAAAATAAATGTTTCATGAAATCTTTCTATGTGAAGGCTGATTCCTATTTCATATGAACATGAAACTAACTAGCAGCCCGCCTCAGGGAATAATGAGTCCATGAATAAAAGCTATATTTTCACATGTCGATCAAATAAGATTAAAATCATCCTCAAAAGCATTTTTGGCAACATAGACATCCACCTCCCCCACATCAGCATGGCACAGTGGAAACAGCATTGAATTAGATATTGGGAGTGCTGGAGTCCAGAATTGGCTCTGGTATTAACTTGCTTGGTGACTTTTTGAAGTCTCCAAGCCTTCTGTACCAAAACTTCCTCCTCTGTGAAAGTAGCAGTTTGTATGAGCCGATCTCTAAAGTCTCTGACAACTTTAAAATTTTATACTTCAAAGAAAATTATTTTCCCTTAAGGTAGTTTCCTGATGGAAGAATAATTTTCCCAGCTGTGCATTTACTGCCACAAGATAGACTGACCTTTCTGCACTTGCATGAGTAGCTCTTTTACCATAAGTTTAGCATTATCAGACTTTGCAAGGCTGAAATCACACAACAAATGAAGAAGGAACCCTGACCCCCAAAACGCGCCTTTGTCATGGAGACATGAGCTGCAGTTTGCAGATATCTCCGGGGCTGTCGCGTAACTCACAGGGGCCCAGTATGATAGAATGGATTCCATAAAATACCAATATCTATAAGGTACTGTTTATTGAATTGTTATTTGTCTCACAAGACCTTTCTCAGGGGGCTTTTCAATGCCTAACAATCTAAAATAAAGCCATCTGTCCTCCCCTAACTCATAAACCCTACAGTATTAACCAGGTCCTAAATAGAGGTTGGAATTGAGTGATCCCCAGGAACACTCGAGCATGAATAACCATGATAGAGTTGACTCTGCAGGTATTCCATTTTTTGCTTATGGCCCAAAACCATGTTTTAAGCTTTTCTGCACTACTGAGATGATGCATCCTGTGCCTGTCAAGGGATCTGTCTAATGTGTGTGAGTGAGTACTACATATAACCGTGATAACTGGGGTTAGCTTAAAAATATCAATAATTCCTGTAACGTGCTTCATCTCTGAAGTAAGTAGAGAATGCTGATGCAAATGAAGAAAAATTCAAAACAAAAATTCGAACTGTATGGAAATTCCAGAGTAAAATGCAAAATGTCTAAACATAGATCACTGTTCAAAAGAATGGAAAATTCATATTTAAGCAATACGAAAATTTAGGCAGTATACTTTAGCAAAGAAAGTAAGATAATGAGGCAGTGGTACATATGCATATGTGCATATATTACATAACATATACAATTTGTTACTGAATCTATCAAAAAGCTGAAGAATATGAGAAAAGATAAACATATTCATGGAACACTTCGAAATGAGATATTCAGTCCTCATTCTCTAAAATATGATTGCAGTTAGAATTATGCACATAAAAAGGCATATAAATACAGTACGAAGATTTTTCTTTTTTTTTTTTTTTTTTTTGAGATGGAGTCTCGCTGTTGTTGCCCGGGCTGGAGTGCAATGGCACGATCTCAGCTCACCACAAGCTCCGCCTCCTGGGTTCAAGCGATTCTCCTGCCTCAGCTTCCTGAGTAGCTGGGATTACAGGTGCACACCACGACACCTGGCTAATTGTATTTTTTTTGTAGAGACAGGGTTTCACCATGTTGGTCAGGCTGGTCTCAAACTCCTGACCTTTAGGTGATCCACCCGCTTCAGCCTCCCAAAGTGCTGGGATTACAGGTGTGAAGTGAGCCACCATGCCCGGCCAAAGATTTTTCTTATCTAAATTTTAATTTGAAAAGAACATTTACTTTCTAGGTTTTGTAGAAAAGAGAAGAGTGAATGACAGTTCTCTCACAAATAAAGCAGAGGAAGTCAGTGGTTTACCCCAGGGCTCTGCTCAGCAGAAGAATGCTGGATCAAGGATTGAAACTTACATACCTGGAAACAGCAAAACAATACCTGCTGGAGTTGAGTGACTGAAAGGAAAATGGATTAAATGAACAGAGTCCTGGAGTGAGCTAGCGATCCCTTAGCCCAATGGGCCATGATGGTTTGTTCTTAAGTGGCCACAGTTCTTTAGGCAAGTGCTATTATTGATACCAATGTTCTTTCTTCCCTAACTGAAAGCAACAAAAGGACCTTGCACCAATGTCTTGCATCAATCGAGCAAGGTCTCCGTGCAATAATTGCCTCCAGGAAAATGCTGTCCAATAGTGAGTGAAGTGGGCTCTTCTCAGCTACAAAAGTGAAGCCTTGAGACCATCAATCTTGACTCCCCCACCTGTGGAGAAAGTATCCTCCCTATCATTATTTGAACCACTGGGACTTTGAATATCTTAGGTCGTGTTTTTCCAGCCCTCTTCTGCTGGTGAGTGTGTTTTCTTTCCCTCCAGAAATCAAAAATCTCCACCTACGAGAAGATGTGGGCCTTCATGAGCAGCAGGCAGCAGACCGCCCTGGTAAGAAACAGTGACGAGGGAATCCAGAGAGTGCTCACTACGGACTACGCACTGCTGATGGAGTCCACCAGCATTGAGTATGTGACGCAGAGAAACTGCAACCTCACTCAGATCGGGGGCCTCATTGACTCCAAAGGTTATGGAGTGGGAACGCCTATTGGTAAGAGGGGCAGACATGAACCAGGACTGAGATAGAGAATGTCAGTTACCAGTGTGGAAGGAAATGGGCTCAGAGTTCTTTATTCCAAATTCTGAGAAGGCCTACAATGCCTTTAGTGAACTAATAATGGAAACATCCATATAGATCAGAGACATTGTCCAAATTACAGATTCCCAGATATTTAACTTCATATACTCGTAACCAGTGTTTCTTTCAAGTTTTACCAATGCATGTTTAAGAATATATAGATTTTATTATTTCACCCTAAACAAATATCTTAAAGAGAATATCCTTCTAATTAACATCTTCACATTGTTTCCTTCAATACCCATATATACCTATATAATTTATTTGCCTTAAATTAGAATAGAAGAAAGTTGATACTGCATATGCATAGCAAAAGTGAGAGAGTTCGTATTCCATAATGATTGATGAAAAAGCAAGGCTATATCGGTTGAAAGAAAAAGGATAAAGATTAATTTATAAGTATGATGTGCTCAGGCAATGTTAGATTCAATCAATGCCAACTATGTAAAACCAAATTCCTTAGTTCCATGCTACTGCTCTCCTATGAATATTATTGCCTAGGTATACAGACCCATATAGCAATGCATTCTTGTATGTCTATAGGAGACAAGAATAGAATTCAAGGAGTAATTAGTGATCTCCTCTCCATAGAAAACTCCCTCTCTATTGTTTCCCTCTCTATAGAAAACTGTATCGTGGCCGGGTGTGGTGGCTCATGCCTGTAATCCCAGCACTTTGGGAGTCCGAGGCGGGCAGATCATGAGGTCAGGAGATCAAGACTATCCTGGCCAACATGGTGAAACCCTGTCTCTACTAAAAATACAAAAATTAGCTGGGCGTGGTAGCACGTGCCTATAGTCCCAGTTACTCAGGGGGCTGAGGCAGGAGAATCGCTTGAACCTGGCAGGTGGAGGTTGCAGTGAGCTGAGATGGTGCCACTGCACTCCAGCCTGGGTGACAGAGCGAGACTCTATCTCGAAGGAAAGAACGCAAAGAAAGAAAGAAAGAAAGAAAGAAAGAAAGAAAGAAAGGAGGGAGGGAGGGAGGGAAGAAAGGAAGGAAGGAAGGAAGGGAGAAAGAGAGAAAGAGAGAAAGAGAGAAGGAAGGAAGGAAGGAAGAGAGAGAGAAAGAAAAGAAAGAAAGGAAGGAAGGAAGGAAGGAAGGAAGGAAGGAAGGAAGGAAGGAAGGAAGGAAGGAAGGAAGGGAGGGAGGAAGAAAGAAGAGAGAAAACTGTATCGTATAAGGTTCTGGTATAGCGGGAACCTACTCTTCCCAAGTAAGCCGTTGGTAATCTGTTAATAAGAATTCCAAAGGAGAGGAATCAGGGACTGTCTAGACTACTGGGCTAGTCTAGAAATCATAGCTAACAGTCAAGCCAGATCGTTAAGGACCCCAGGTAGGTTTGATCTGTTTGTTTGTATTAGTATTTTTGTCATTTGAAAGGGATGATCCAATTTGACTCTCAACATCATGCAGGGATCACAAACTGAAATGCTTACAGAGGTCAAGCAGATATCATAAGAGAGCAAAGCATGCTTGTGCCAGGAGGCAGTAGGGAATGGTGGCAATTATGGAAAATTACAGACCACATGACTTACCAAAAGGAGACAGCCGCCTTTCAGGTCAGAGGGTTGTAGACATGTAGGACTTTGAGAAGAAGATTGTGGAATATTCCGTTTTCTAAGAAAATAAAAAAAATCCAGATTTTAGGTGATTTGTCCTAATGTTTTTATTTTAGCAATAAATTCATTAAAAAAGAAAAAACTGTATTTCATGTATTCAACTTTTAATTAATATGAATATAACTAATCAGATAAAATTCAACTATCTTCCACATTTACCATGAATACACAGCCAGTTTGACTTCCTGCTATCTACCTGGTTTAGAAATATGTGCTAGGGAGAAATTAACTTTATTATTATTGTTATCATGTATGTCCTCCAAATAAAATTCCTGCAGAATGATGGGGCTAGAAGATTTACAGCTACCTTCTTGCTTCTTTATTTCCAATAACTTCTCCTGATGAAAATACTAATGTTGCTAGTGAGGTGTATATTTTTCCCCAAGTGGTAAGCTCTCCTATAATTTAGTCAACAGGAGGCTCAGGGGATCATTTGGCACTGGCTAACAGGATATTATACCTCTTTTTGACTTTAAAAAAGCAATATCCTATTGCCCTAAGCAAGCTTTGCCACCTCATTTTAGATAATAAAGGTGAGGGAAGTTAGACGGTATTTTTAATATCTCATCACTGCTGATTTTAGTTAAATGGGCCATAAATCAGACAAGAACACCAAGAGTAGGTACCTTTGCCTGAATTTTTGCAGAATCAAGACCCTCATGGAGGAGTAACCATAATTCCTTAATAGAACCATCTCTAGACTAAATTATAAAGTCAAAAACTGTACCTTTATCATTCCATTTCCCACCTCATAACCCTACCCCACCACATTTCAACACCCCTTTCTGGCACCAAAATTCCTGTCTGTTAATAATGATTTAAAATAACAATGTGTATCACCCCTCCTGAGAATGTTTGCACTTTAACATGAGACTTTTAATTGGCAGTCCTTCTACAGCATGGAACATAACTTGAAAGTTAAAATTTCTGATAGTACAGTGAGTGACGCAGGGCTAGGGGCAGGAGGGAGCAATGCACTTCTTCCTACCACTTTCCTAAATGAATGCACCACTTTGAAAATCACTGCCTGCTTTCATGCGAATGAAGTTGACCTAGTGTTGAGTACCACTAACATTAAATAGACATATAATACAGAGAGATCCAAAGGTACCCATTCAGTCTCCTTTTGGGCAGCCTCACCCAAGTTCCAAAGTTGAAAAGCCTTCCCCACTTCCTAGATAAAAAGAAATATACTCCAGGAATTTTTCATAGTGGTTATAAACCTGTCATGCTTTTAAACTAAAAACAAGGAAGGAATAATTGGAACAGATGGCAGACCTCACAGAGAATACGTCCATTGAGAATACAGCTGTTGGAAAAAATTGTGAGATGTTTCTTTTATGATGAATTGACTGTACAAAAGATCAGTTGCTATTCAAGAAGATGCGTGTGTGCGCACGTGTGTGTGTGTATGAAATATATATATACGAAATATATATAGATTTCAAGTGACATAATAAATAACTTTCAATGTCATTTACTTCATTTAAGCAACAACAACAAAAAAACTGAAGTTAAAATATACTCAGATATTAAAAATTATCTGCACACTTCTAGTCTTGCCCTGACTAATTGCCTTATGGCTCCAAGCTCTGTCCCATAATCAAATATTGGCAAAGTCACAACACAAAATTGAAGACTTTGCTTCTTAGAGACACTCAGGACAACAGATCTAGAAATGTACCTCCTGTGAGATTTAAAATAAAACTCTGAGAGAACAAGAGCATTTAAGGTTTGAACAGCTTACCAGGAGGCTAGAAATTATCTTTCTCAGAGACCAACTTTAAACAGAGATCAGATTTTCATTTGTCTGAAATGTTTTAGGTATTGCGCAGCCTGGAGGCAGAAGGAAAGCATCAGTCAACATTTACTGAGCACCTACTGTGTATGCTGCTAGGATTATTACTGCAACCACTAACATAAGAATCATTCTTACACTCTTCGAAGCACTTTCATGTACATTAAAGCAAAGTGCTCTTGGTTCACTTAATTGCTCACCTGCTATGGGTATATCAATGGTGCTAATTTTTACACTAGCCATTATTCTGGGGATATTTAAGCAAATGGCCAAGGTCTTTTAATTTCGTTTCAATATCCATTTTTTCACCAAAAATTCATACTCTTGATAAGCCATAATCTCACTCCAAAGCATTTTGCTCTTCTTTTAAACTTGTTTTTGAATGCTGACGATTATTTTAGGAAGTCTTACGAGGAAAATTAATAACAAATGACACCAACTTTAAACTTCTATTTTTCTAACTTAACCATGCCATAGGACATAAGGCATACGTAGGGGTGGGAGCACTGGATGGGAACACTGTCATGAAAACAACATGAAAAGTGAGAAGTCAGGAGACTTGAGTTTGATTCTTGGCTGTGCCAGCAACTATCAGTTTCGCTCATACTTTCAGTTCCTAAATATCTTCCATTCTAAAATGGAATATGTACTGAACTGTAAGTGGACTGAACTGTATCATTCCTAAGATTTCTTCTAGTCCTAAGATGCCTCATTTATCAATGTGCTTCCACCAAGAAAGACTTTAACGTTTGCAAATAGAGAAAGCCAGAGTGTACTACTTTTCTACTGAATAGAAGAAATGCTAACAAGAGTTCTTCATATTCAAGGAGAGATTAAGTAAAAGAGTACTACTTTGCCTCTTCCTTTGCATTGATTAACCAAAATCCAGTGTTGAGAAGCTACGTCTACAGATAGACACTGGCACTTTTCAACCCTTACAAAATTAAAAGTTCAATGGCATTACTAGAAGATAGAGTATAAATAATATTAATAAAGTCCTTGCAAATTTTCCAAACCTAACTGAATTTTGTAGGAAATTTGAACCATTCAAAACCTAGTCTTAAGTTTATCTTAATAGGTGCATGAATCAGTATGTACTAACCAACATCTGCAAAGATTATGTTGGGAAGACATTGTCTTAGTTCCTATTGGCTAGAAACCAGTCACATAACCACACTGAACTGTAAGGGAGGTGGGAAACGTCTAGTTACTCCCCCTCAGAAGAAGAAATGGAACTGCTGGTCATCCAGGCAAGCCCAGTCACAGTATGAGACAACAAAGAGCCTAGAAAAAAGTGAGATCTAAATAACTGCTAGCTTAAAAAATGTATATACAATATCGATAAATTACAAAAGTAGAAATGGAGACTTCATTTCTTTATAAGCAAAGAGTGACAACCTGCAAGGTGGTCATCCTGTAGGCTGGAAAACATGTGTCCAACCAAGATCAAAGACAGGCACTTTGAAAAAAGAGGGGTTGGGGCAAGAGCTTTTTGCTGAATGGGTTGGCTTAACATACATATTCAACTGGTTCCAGGCAGAGCTATGAATATTTGTGAAGATGATTCTGACACATGCATATTGAACAAAAATGCACGTAACATACAATCCATGTTCACTTTGGGGTAGAGACTTAACATTTAAATGTTTTATAATTAGGTTCTATACATCAAAATGTCTTTCAGGACACAATAGCTTGCAAAGGCACAATCTCTTTAATCCAACCAGAACCAGTCTAAGGTCGGTGGTCTTCTTATCTGGAGAAAGTTACTGAAATCAGGATCTTGTTTAAGGAAAGGTATAGCTAGTGGAACAGGGGCTGGGAGTCAGTGTCTATGAGTTAGATGAGCTGTAATTGTTTTAATATTGCTTATCTCGAGGCCAGTGCTTGTTTACCTCCTTGAGAAAAAGAAAAACCTTATAGCAGTTGGAACATAGTTTATTCTTTAAGTCCAAGACTGTGTGACTTAACTCTTGTCTGGCATGGCCTTTGGTCCTGTTTATAATTTGATATCGTTGCCACAAATAGACTGCTCTGTCTGACCTCCCATCCTGGTATGGCTGCTAACTAAGTTTTTGAGGTTTTTCTGGGGTCCCTTTGGTCACAAAAGAGGGTCATTCAGTCAATGGGGGCTTAGAATTTTATTTTTAGTTTATACAATGAAATCTCTTGACATGTGAAAAGACTCATGATGATCTCACCAGAAACAAAGACATGTCATAGAATTCCTAGCTTCGCTTCTCCTTAAAAAGGAGCAAACGGTCGGGGCCAAAGTTAATCTCAACATGTCAGCTATCTCCTTTCCAATTATTTAGTATTTAGTGCCTTCAAAATACAGGATTGAACTTTCCTGCCCTTTACAAGTCAATCTGTGGATTGGGGTTTCACAACAGCCATAACGTCATCGCTGAGAACGATAACTAAGAATACTTCTGGATGTCTTCTTCAACATTTTGGTGACCAATATCCAAATGACTTTACTTCCAGGTTCTCCTTACCGGGATAAAATTACTATTGCTATTCTTCAGCTCCAAGAAGAAGGGAAGCTGCATATGATGAAAGAGAAGTGGTGGCGTGGGAATGGCTGCCCCGAGGAAGACAATAAAGAAGCCAGTGCTCTGGGAGTGGAAAATATTGGGGGCATCTTCATTGTTTTGGCTGCCGGACTGGTCCTTTCTGTATTTGTAGCTATTGGAGAATTCATATACAAATCACGGAAGAATAATGATATTGAACAGGTGAGTCATCTCTTTCTAGGACTGGTGAGTTTATAGTTTGCATTATGTGTCTTAAGTTTGGGGGTTTTAAGGATGTTTGCTGTTTTTCAGTCTGTTAAATTAGATGCCCAGAAGAGCCATTTTTGAGTTAGAGCAAAGAGCTATTGAATCCCTGCCAGGTGCTGTGGGCACTGCAGGCCCATTACTTATTAATGACAAGGAAGGGGCTTACACACGAAATCCAATTAGCCCTATTTGGAAAGACAGTGCAGAAATTCCAAACTCAGTTAATTTTTGAACAGTTGTTTGCTTGTAAGATAGAAACCCTAGATGGAAAAAGGCAAAAATAAATCCAAAATTGGAAAAGCTATGAAAAGATATTTAACAGAAAGATTACCAGCCCTTAAGTATAGATTCTGAGCACATGTACTAATGCAAAAAATGTACATAAATATGTAAAAGTCATAGTATGAAATTGAACACTTACTTCTATCAAAGTAAGCTTTGTAAAAGGATAGATCACCTCAAATTTTTTTTTGCCAGGAATATAAGAATGCAAAATGAAAATGCAATGTATATGAGACTTTTGTGTTTGGGATTATAGGACAATTTTAGTAGTTGACCATTTTTGCCTATTACTTTTATTTTTGAAGGAAATCACACCAGTTTTGAAGGAAATCAGCTTATACTGTTTTGAAAAAGCTGATTGTGATTTAAGATAATTCCTTCATAACCATACTAGAATAAACAAAATACGAAGGTTTATGGCCATGATAGTGAATCAGGCTCCCAATTCAATTTTTAAATAATGTTAGAATTTTAAGACTATGACTATTAATGACAGAGCCAGTTTAATGCTCTGCTGTCATCTTGAAATTCTAAATAATTTTTGAACAAAGCGTCCCATATTTTCATTTCGCACTGGACCCTGCAAGTTATGTGGCTGGTTCAGATTTCTAATCTGATAATAGATCTACTTTCTTTAAGTAGAAGCCCTCCTTAAGGGCCCAAAACTGGGAATGATTCATTATAACCTGGTTTCACATGAAAATCTTCCCCAGAATTACAAGGCAACTGTGACAACAATGAACACCCCTTTCCTAAGCTCTTGTTATAAGAAGCTGTTTTTTTAATTAAAAGAGAGAATGAACTGATCTGCTTTAACTTTCAATTCGCTCTTGAGGTGTCTTGTTTTATGCAACTAATTTGAAAAATAAAAGCTTGTATATGTGATGCTTTAATGTGCTTTTCATAGTTACCAGCTTCACGTGATGTAAATTTTCATTTCAACATTCATTCTTGCTTCTGATTTATTCATTGTTCTATATTTTTTTCTCATTTCTTTTGCATGCAAGGCTTTTTGTTTCTTTTATGGACTGCAATGTAAGCAAACCCATCCAACCAACTCCACTTCCGGAACCACTTTATCTACGGATTTAGAATGTGGCAAATTAATTCGAGAGGAGAGAGGGATTCGGAAACAGTCCTCAGTTCATACTGTGTAATCAGTTTTTTTTAAAAAAAAGAAGTGTGCCCAGTAGAAAATGTTTTCGCTAATTGGTGTTGTTGATATTTGTATTTGCTAAGCATAAATAGCCACAATTCTCTATTCCTTTAGGATAGCAACACTCATGTATTCTAGACATTGAAATGAATACACTGGAAAGAGACTTGCACTGTATGTTGAAGGAGGGGCATATTAGGAGTATACAGACTTCTAGAAATGTGTATTTACAAGAATCTTCTCTGTCCCATGCGTCATCTTAGTTCTATCTTCACGCATTAAAAATAAGTAACTCTTCCTTCATGAAAAAGGAGATCAGACTTTCAACAGGGCAAAGCATGGAAACAAGATGCTTATTCTGTGGACTTCTTTTCATCTTTGTGAACTTCGTTCCTTGCTCTTTTTTCTTCTCCCTGTTCATATATTGTGTAGATCTGTGTATTGTCAAACGACCCGAAACCCTTACCTTTTCAATAGTACACACATAACTCCATAACAATGATAATTTTTAATTGAAATTGATTCCATGATTTAAAATGTATTATTTACACAAAGACTCAAAAATGTCTTAGAATTTAAAGATGTAAAAACCGCGATCCACAGAAAGAAAACTAAACTTGAAACTTCTGGCGTCACAGAAGAGCACTAGCTAAATTGAACATCACTCATGGAAACAGAACACAGTCAAGAATAATTCCTGGACAGAAATTCATTAACCTCAAACTCCCAAATAACGTTTACTTGTAGAATTTAACAGTCTTCTGTAGGTTCTGAGTCTTGAAGGAACAGTGATATTTTTCAAGCTGTATAGTACTTCTTTGAAGATCCCAGCAAAGTTCTAAGCTATGTACTAATTCATTTCTATTTACCACTCACTTTGCATTGATGAACATCTTTCTAGGAGATATTATTTCACTTCCTTCCCACTTACCCTAGATAGAGTGGTTGTTCTTGGAGCAATCTTTCCTGAACATCACCACTTTCACAGTTATTTCTTTGGATCCATCATTATTATTAATTCATTCCAAGTATTCTGGGGAAAGGGGCAAGAAGGAAAAAACAAAGGAAAGAATGTCCATACATATTAGTTACAGATCTCTGTAGATTCATTTTCCATCTTCATTCAAAGTGCTGTAAATAATTCCCATGCTAACTCAACCAGGTGACATAAAAAACCTATTGCACATTTAATTTGTTGGGACAGAGAATATCTGATGATTCCTCTGGGCTCGTTTCTCCTCCCTAGTGAACAGGAGAATTGAAGATGTGTTTCATCTTTTCTAAATGTGGGATCAGTTGGTCTTTACTCTTTTCTTAATGGGATTATCTTTTGACACATCAAGCAATCCCCTAAAGCACATTCCTTGAAGTAGAGATATGCCATCTGTGCAATCATATAGCATTTTACCTTCTCTTTGCTTAGCTTTAAATGGCTCCCAGTTTTGGAAACCACAGGTCTCTCCAATCAACCGTATATTTCTCCAGTAAAGCATATTCAGGAAAGTTGACTAGTTGACTCTTGTCCTAATTGTTTCTCAGCTTTGCTTCCTTCCTTAAAGAAATGTACTCAGAAGAAAAATCATAAATTACACTAACATTGTTTTATTATTATTAAACTAGAAGCAACATACTATTTGTCCCAGGTCAGAGTTCACATTTTCATAATCAATAGAATCAGATGTTGGGATGAATATGACATTATTCTTAGTTTCATATTTCATGGATTCAGTATATAGAAACCACAAATTTCATAAGTTTACTCTCCCAAAGACAATAAACCAAAAATGCTACCAAAAGAGTTCAAGTGTGATTGATGAAGTATTGACAATCAAAATTAACAATCACTAACGAAACTTAACTTTCTGTAGAGATTATTACTTAAAAGTGTAATTCAGAGATTTGGACAGAGAAATTATCTCTTTCAAAAGTTAATATTTCTATACTACTTTAGACTGTATACTACCTAATTCTGGTATTTATGTACTATTTTATAGTTTTCAAAATGTTTTCACATACAACATTACATTTGATCCTTTCAACAATTTTAATTCAGCTTTACTAACAGAGAAGTAGATATCAGTCATTGGCCTGCAGTTATAGATTTTAGAAGCAGAAGAAAATTTTCTAAAACAGCCAAACTTAGATTCAGGTTCTAGCAGAGCCACATGCTAAATGACTGTAGGCAAGTTACCAAATTTCTCAATCTCGATTTCTTAATATGTAACAGTGGGACAAAATTTCTAGAACATAAAGTTTTGTAGGGGGGTTTTTCAAAAGGGGTTCAATTGGCAAATGTTTCTCAAATAAAATTTTCATAGTAAAATAACCCATAGAGCGTCACTCTAAATGTTCCTTTACCACATGCTATCTCAGTGTGCATCACAAGTTTTTGTGCATTGAGAATTTTCAACAAAGCGGAAAAGTATTCAGCACTTCTCAAGCCTATTAGATTGCAGATTTTTTTCCCCACAGCATCTTGACAGACCAGTTTCCACAGATCATCCTCCAGGGAACACAGGCGTGATCATGTGACTCTCATCCCATAATAGTGTGCAAAACATCTTGCATTGTGCTTGGCACATAGTAGCCACTCAATAAATAGTTATGTATTCTTTGGAGTAAATTTCTAAGCCTCAATTTTCTTACTTGTAACATGAAGGTAATATTATGGGCTTTATACATTTACTATGATAATTAAATAAGATTATGGCAGAGAAAATGAAATAATTAATAAAAGTCCTGCTAATATATATCAGTTAACAACTGTTGGTACCTTCTGGAGGAGCTAAGTATTGTTCTCTGGTCACATGGGCAGTAACTAAAATTTATCAAACATCTTAAAATGGAATCTGGTTTAAAAAATTGGTTTTCTAATTTAGAGGCTCAAGCTCTATCTCTAAGAGCAGTTTTTCTTATACAAGCATCATAAATCAATGGCAGAGGTCACTGCACTTGGAAGAAGGACCCAAATTGGTAATATGTGAAGATCTATAGTAGAAGCTCTGGACCTTGTCTCTAGAAATTCTAATTTAATTAGTTGGGGCATGACATTGGTAATTTTTTCAGATGCCCAGTTGATTTTAATGTGTTGGAAACGCTGAGAACCAATAAGCTAAAGCACAAACTTATATATATAATTAGAACTCAATAAATCATTGCTGTTCATTGCTTGATTGATTGCAGAAGTAGAGCCACTAATCCTATGCAATATGTATAACACATGTTTGGCATTCAATCTGACAGACCCTTTCCACTGAGAATTCAGGGAAAAACTGCACATCTTTGAGATGGAAATTTTATGATATTCAATTGATAATCTTCATGATTAGTTGTAAAACTATAGAGCTAGACCAACTCAGAATTATCAAGTAGACAGTTTATTGCTCTCTCTGTACCCTTTCCTCCCTGGAGAAATCTTGATTCATCATCTCGAGTACTTACTTTTTTCACACTCTTCTCGTTTTGTTTGTTTTTTTTTTTTTTTAGATGGAGTGTTTCTCTGTCGCCCAGACTGGAG